CTACTGGTTTTTGCTTTTATATTGCATTGTTGATCTAACATTTTTGTTGTTGGTTGGTTAATATAACTTTTTTTGCTGTTGATATATTTATGGGCAAGTTTTGTGTGTGGAAAATCCATTGTTATTACATTTTGGTGTTAATTGTTCTCCAAATACGTTCTAGATTTCATTAGAAGTTGATTTTATTGGTAATATCTAAGTCATCTTGTGTAAATTGATAAACATGAATTTTGATTTTCAATAGACGTTCTATAAGAATGAGATGTTATTTGCATTGTATCTTGGTTTAGTTGGGTGAAGCTCTTTCTCTTGATCATTTGCAATGTTAAAAGTTTTGGCTTATGGTCTTTTTGCCATCTTGCTATCACACTTTATGCACTTTGATATAACTATGCTCAAGAAACCTCTAAGGGTGACTTTAATTAAGAAGGTCTTAGGTCTGGAATCTAGATATTTAGTAGTTATCAACTCTTTAGATGTCATGTCCCTTGGCCAGAAGACCTAATTACACAAAGATCCCTCTCCACACGATTTGTGCAATTAGACCTTCCAACCAAGAGACATGGGCCCCTAAAGAGTTGATAGCAACTGCAGTATCCAAACTTAAGACCTCCTAAATCAAAGTCACCCTTTGGGGTTTCTTAAGCATAGTTATATCTAAGTGCATAAGGAGTAAGAACAAGATGGTAAAAAGAAACATCATCCAAAAGCCAAACCTTTCAACATTGGAAACTATCGCTCATTCATGATCTCGAGAAAGATCTCCACCCAACTAAATCAAGATACAATGCAAATAGTATCTCCTTGCTTATAAAAAATCTATCGAAAACCAAGATCCGTGTTAATCAATTTACACAAAATGAATTAGATACTACCAATATCATCAACTTTTAATGAAATCTATAACGTATTTGGAGAACATTTAACACCAAAAACACACCCACGACGTAATAACACTGGATTTTCCACACATAAAACTTGCCCACAAAATATTACATCAAAAACAAAAAATTTATATCAACCAACCAACAGCAAAAATGTTAGATCAATAATGCAATATAAAGGCGTGGTTGGGTTATGGTGAGAATGAAACTTATGGCGGTGAGAATGAAAGAGATCTCCGCCCTTGTATCGATCCTAATTTAAGAGAACAATTAGATCAACACTAATGACATCCACCAAATCAATTCCCTTCTGAGCCGCAATCGCAATTCATGGGTTGATTGGAGATTCAAATTGATCAAGAGTCCAGATCCCTTCTAACATTTATCACTAACTCCTACTCTCACAAGATCCTTAGTCTATGAAAGCAAAAACCAGTAGATATTTCAGTAGCTAATGATCTGAAAAAAGTGTTATATCAGCAATTCAACAGCGAAAGCAAAACCAACATCGAGAAGGCAAAATACAGCAAAACCAAGAAGAAATTAAGTAGAAGAAGAGGAAAGAAGAGTAATTTTGTAAGAAATGAACCTAAACTACCAGAAATGTACCACTCACCGTCAATTTCGATAAGTATCAGTAAGAAGCAACATAAAGTACCAGAAGTCGTACCTGAAGCAACAGCAGAAGAACCGATTCCGATAAGCAAAGCAACAGAAGTAAGAAACGAAATCGTACAAAGGAATGGAAGATGATAAGAGTTTACAGAAATGGAAAAAGGGAGGAATATCTGATTCCTTAGGGGGGAAGGAAGAATGAGCGGGAATCGGAGAATCGAGATCATATCATAGGGTTTGGGTAATGGGATTGATTTATTAACAGCATCTTCCTGGAAATTTCTTCATCAAAAAGTTAAGGGAAATAAAATATTTTTTAAATGAATAAAATATTAACTTTTTTATTGTAAATAATTAATTCTCTAATTTTTAAAGCAAATAAATTATTGAACTTTTTAAAAATGATTATTTACGAGCTTTCAACAAAAAAAACTATTTATATTATATTATAAAGTATTTGATGAAAATTGTTAAAAATAATTTTTTATACATAAAGTATTGTTTATTGATATATATTAATTAAAATTTAATATTACAAATAAATTATGCATAAGTTCAACCTATTAAAGCTTCATATTTAAATTTATGTAACTAAGTACAGATAAACATAATCAAATATTGGATAAATATCTCATTTTAAATATAAAAAATCTAAAATGTAATTAGAATAATCATTGAGTTCTAACAAAATACTTAGTTATTATCTTTATACAAAAATATATTATTAAACCTAAATTAAATTATAGTTAAAATTTTGAATTAAGAAAATTACCAAAACACAATAACTTTTAAAAAAATTAATTTGATACTGATATCGATATATTTTTTTCAAAATTTTATGATATTTTCAAATTTATATTGCATTAAAAAAATAAAAACATTATTACTTTCTCAAAACCATATAAAACCGTATTATATCGACATAAAAAGGAAATAAAATGAAACACTGAAATCAAGATCTGCCTCAATGCATTGCACGAGTACTCTTGTAGTTTGATACAAACATTTTAAATAAAAAAACTTAAATCAATTGTACCATTCACAAACCTTACACCATTTAAACTCTTCGCACACATTGACGTCGCTCTTCTTCACCGTCCATTCTCCAACGACGGTGATAAAGAGTGGATGACAATGACAACACGAGGTGAGGCAATAACGTTGAGTAAAATGGTATTTATGACATATTTTTATTGACGGTAAAATTGATTTTTTTACTTTAAAATTTCCTTAGTCAGTGTCATTTAGTTTTTTGGTTAAACAAATGCATGTAACCAATTTCTAAACGATAATTGTTTATTTATTAAAGTAAATGTTCATGAATTTAATCATTCAAAATCAGAAAATTTTAATGGTTTACTCATTCTAATATATAGTTTAGGGACTTTATCATTTAAACTGGAAAAGTTTGTTGGGTTTTTTTAAACTTTAAAAAAAAATTATAACATTAATTATATTATTAAAATATTTATATGAATAAAAATAAGAGTAAATCTTTTATTACCCTCAATTTGGTAATATACATAAATTAATGCGTCTGGGATCCTAAATCTATTATATCATATCAAAACAAACTATATTTTTCGTTAGTTTTTCATTTTAAACATTTAATTTAAAAAAAATTGATGAGAAATATTACATATATAGAGAGAGGGGATAAGTTATTATACAACTTTTTACATTTGTACAACCAATATAATTTAATCTCGACCGTCCATTTAATTTGATGAATATGTAATTTGATAGAAGTTTTGATTATTTTCTGATATAAAATATTCATCATAATTAATGAATCTTATTTATCTTCCATAAATATTTAAATCATAATAAATGAACTCTCATCATTTTCATAAATATTTTAATTTATTGGGTTGCATCGATTGTACAAATATGATAGTTTGCATTTGAAACGACTCTCTCTCTCTCTCTCTCTCTCTATATATATATATATATATATATATATACTAGTTATGTACCCGTGCAATGCGGCGGGAGCCATGAATTTTAACGATTTTGAAATTCCACTGGTTTATAAGATAAGATTTAACGATGATATATGTTACACTTGGTCTTTACATATTAATACAATTTGAATAAATAAGAGTTATGGTTCCAATTCCAATTACAGACTATCGATGAAAAAATTGTATGTCAGTTTAAAATCTAATATATTTAAAATCCAACATATTTAAACGACTTCACAAATTTGTTCGATTTATACCAAGAGCAAAAAACTAAGAAATTTGAGTTTTAAGATAAACACTCAAAACTAATAAAAAAACTACAAATTTGACAGATCATAAGCCATGAAAAGACAAAAAAGATGGGTTTTAGAATGAAATTTCAACTGCTTACCCTCTTTCTTGTTCAGAAACTTAGATTAAGGTTGAATTAATACATGTATATATATATTTCAAAAAAACTCAAGAACATATTAATTCAGAACATATTATASAGTGCAATTTGGACAGTCTAACCCCAAAATATATAGTATATATATATAAATAAATAACTATAAAAGTATAAATCATAAATATTAAAAATATTTTTTTACAATATATATAATAATATAATTAAGTCAAAAACTATTCAATATTGGATTCATTTCGAAGGTATTAACGAGACGATTATAATTGTGTAATTTGTTAAAATAAAAATGTATTTTTTTAAACATGTTTTAATTGATATATGATCATGTATATTAATTTGATAAAAGTTTGAAATGAAACATTTAAAAGTTAAAGACGTAAAGTAAATTAATTAACTAATTATACGGGTATAAAGTGTAAATTTAAAATTATAATTTTAAAAAAAAATCGGTTGTGAGAGGGTGAGTGTATGTGAGGAGAGGAGGGGGCGAAAAACTGAAAAAGTGATATAAAAGGTATCTTGGTCATTTAGTATTTTGATAAGCTTATATTTAAACATGTTTTTATAATGAATCTAGTATATATTGTAAAGTTTATATAGCTTATAGAATCCCTTTAATTTAGTTATTGATTGGTCTTTGATAGGTGCAAAAAATGATGGATTTTAATACAAACAGAGCATATATTTTAAAACTGTTACAAGGTGGGGCATAGTTTTCTAAAGGAATATGAGGCTGAGCATATTTATGAAATAGGTTCTGGACTGGGCATACGAATTCAAATGGCGTGAAAAAGAAGCATATTTTCTCAAATGTTTTAAAAAAAGCCCAACAGCAGCAGTCCAGCAACAACAGCCCAACAGAGGCAGTTTTTCATCGGGGGAGAGACGTGGGCTGTTTTGGAGTTCGTGAGGGAAGACGACAGCAGGTTTTTTTGGAGGGGAGAAGACACGAGGTGCGATCGATTGATGAGGAAGACAACAATGGTTCGTGGTTTTGGATTGAAGAAGCATTGAAGGAGATCCATCAATTTTAAAACTAGGTTAATATCTTTTTCAATTTCTTAGTTTGTGTTTTCAATTAGCCATGTGTGGCTAATTTCTTTGTAAATTCAACCTTGGATTGCTTAATATTTGCAAGTTCTAGTTCTACTAGTTGTTTGAGATGATGTACTATCATCTCACTTTGATTATTCACCCAATTTCTGAATTTAATAGTTTATAAAATTGAATTTCATGTTTTCTGATCAATTGTGTGGAAATCGATTATGGTTATTTTGGTTTCCTAAATCCGTAATTGTTTAGTAAACTAATATTGATGACAAATAACAAATAGGTTTAGTAGAAATTTCCTATCTTTTGTCATGAAATTAGGTGAAACGGAAGATTTAGATTAACCAAGCTCGTGTGTTAATTTATCCGACCCGGGTTCCATTGATTCTTCATGCTAGTATCAATTTGGCTCTTAAGAGCTTATTTGAAATTGATGTCAATTGCATATTAAGGTATGAGAGGAGAGCTTGTTCCTATCAAAAGTTATGTATGTTGGAATTAATTGTTAGAGCTCTTTAACAATTAGAACCGGGTTAATCGAAGTATGTGCGGTCGCCTTATAGATCATCAATGATAACAACTCGTGAATAGAGTTGCATTTATAATCCAAAGTCTGAGTTTATTTTTATTCCAATCGTCTATAATTACTTTTATTCGCATGATTAGTCTAATTAATCAAATCCAACCCCCGCATCCCCCCCCCCCCTTTTGTAATTACTTTTAAGTTGTCGCTTTGTATTTGATTTTTCTAGACATAGTAAGTTAAACCGAGTCCCTGTGGATTTGACCTGACTTACCGCTATTACAATTTTGGTTGTAATTAGCTCGTAATTGGAATTTATTATTTGGTGGACTCGGCATCCGTCAAATTTTAAGACTTTTGTTAAATTTACTTTATACGATAGTATAGATATAGATATATTAGAAGGGTACCCAAGTAATGCAGCGGGATACATATCCATTTTAATGTTTCGTTTTATTTTTTGTCTATGTTGATATGATACGTTTTATGTGATTTTGAGAAAGATAATTTTTTATTTTTGAATATTATAAAAATTTGAAAAAAATATCCATATTAATATCAATTATTTAAAAGTTCTCATTTCTTTTGTACAATTTCTTTAATTCAAATGTTTATTATAATTTACTTTAGGTATAATATAAAAGTAATTTATTTTTGGCTTAACAATATAATTTTTTATAAAGATAATGGTTCTGTTAAAACTTAATGATTATCCTAATTATATTTCAGATTTTTATATTTAAAATGAAATGTTTATCATGTATTTTCTTCATGTTTATCTGTAATTAGTCATGCGAATTAAAAAATATAGCTTTAATAAGTTGTACTTACGTACAATTTACTTGTAGTCTTAAAATTCAAGTAATATATGTCAACAAACAGTACTTCATGCATAAAAAATGATTTTTAAAAGTTTTTGTTAAATGTTTTTACAATATAACTAGATTAGTACTCGTGCAATGCAGCGAGATACATCTTGAAAAATATATATTTCATTTTATTTGTTATCTCAGTCGATGTTATAATACGGTATTATGTGATTTTGAAAAGCGGTGATGTTTTTATTTTTGAATAAAACATAAATTTAAAGATATCATAAAAATTTAACAAAAATATATCGATATTAGTATCAAATTAACTATCAGTAACTGATTAACTGAGAGCAAAGAAGAAGGATGACAATCGTTAACATGTGTTAAATGTTTATTGCATAAAATTCTCGCCCATTGAAATGGTATAGAAAGATTATTATTAAACATTTATTACATGATAAACATTAACCAGGTAAGATTATCAGTCATTGTTATACTCATCTAAAAAGTTTTTATCCGAGTAACGTTTAATATAAATATTACAACTCCACAACACCCAATCAAAACACACTTTCAAAACCGGTAATGACTTGACAACACATCTCTTCCAAACCATTATCTCTCTAAAATCACTTTTGGCTTATATGGTGTGGTGGATACTTTATTTATTCTTTCCCTTATAAAGTGGGTTTTATATATAGTTTTTGAGAGATTTATCAGAATAGCCATTTATTTGATTGAATTCATATTCCAGTAAACTTTTGTTGACACTCATCAAAAAGTCAATACATTCTTAACAGAGTCGTCTCTTAGCATGTTAAATGTGAAATTTTAAATAGGACCCCCAAAATTTTAGGGCCTAAATTTACATGTGTTTAGGGTATTTTATCGACATGTGTAAAACTATAATCAAAATTATTTAGGTTCAAACCATTAATTGTTTGGTCTTAGGTTTAAATCATTAATGGTTTAAGTTTAGTTTCAGATTGTCAATCGTTTTAGGTTTAGCCCAATTTTGTTCTTAACATATATTATCTGTTATCTCATTCTTGCAATGTTATCAAAAAATTTAGATATAACAAGGCCTCCAAAAAGATTAGAACGTTTCTGATTCGGCTTTAACATGCCATCTTTTCCCAAATTGTCACTTTTTAAATCACTGATACACAGGGCCGGCCCTGAGATTTTTGGTGCCCATGGCGAAAAGTCCAAATGATGCTCAATTAAAAACATCCAAGTGCGGTAATTTACAATTGTCTAGCTTTTTCCTTCATAGACCGAGAGACACATTAGTGTTTTTTAGTCACTTAAGGTATTTGCCTATGAAATTAGCTATTGCATGACTCCGTTAGTCCATCATGTGTTTCATATAATAATATTTATGGTCTTGACCAATGGCAATCATGAGTTTCATATGTAAAATTGCAAAGCTATGGGAGACCATCCAAGTGAATTAGCTACTACACATTCAAGTGAGGGTAAATCATCACTTAACTATAGCACATTTATAGGTTTGTTCAACTATATTATAGCTACTGAAATTGTGTTAATATACATCAAAAACTAATGGGATTAGAACAAAAAGCGGTGGATGATAACTTGAATATTAATCACATAATGAAGAACTAAAACTCCAGAGATAGGCTTGATTGATTCGATCAACAACTAGATCAATTAATAACAATAGTATTCATTTAACTTTAAACAAACATAAAAAGTATAGAACTTATGCCAAGAACAGCAAAACTTCAGTTGAAACTCATGAACAAAAAAACTTACTTGTGCAGTTGAAGAGTCGATCTAAGAGAAATCAACAATGCAAGCTTCTGATAGTTTCTGCAGCAAATTACTTTCCTCTACCTCTTTTCCCGTACCTAGGCTGGGATTAAAGAAATAAGGAATATCAATCTTACTACCAGGGTATAGATAAGTTTGATGACATACACAACAACTTACCATGAAATGCATAATGAACCTATCCTCTACCACAAGACAGCAAGATGCATCCACACCCATTCTATCAAAAATCTGATATTCAAGTGGTTTGATCATTGTCACTCATTTTAGTTACAATCTCAATTACCAAAAGTAATTTAGGCAAATAATGGCGTGAAAACAAGTTAGGAAGGAGAAGGCAGAAACTACAAGCACACACTCTTTTGGTTACCCATTTTAGTTACAATCTCAATTACCAAAAGTAATTTAGGCAAATAATGGCGTGAAAACAAGTTAGGAAGGAGAAGGCAGAAACTACAAGCACACACTCTTTTGGTTACCCATTTTAGTTACAATCTCAATTACCAGTGCACTAAGAGAAATGATGCAAAAAGAACAGGCGCAAAACAAGTAGAATCAGTCACTATAACCCTCTTTGTGCAAGGTGCAACTAACAGATACATCATCAAGAAAGAAGTTCCATAAAAAAAATTGAAACAGTTAGATTTGACAATGAAACTTCTATAATAATAATATATAATAATAGAACAAATGTACAAATTCTTTTCCTAAAAGACATTAATATAATCAAGAACAGTCTTTTATGTTTTTCAGAAACTGCTATGCACCTAAAGGAATGAATAACTATGCAGAACTTGCAAGAAGGTAAGCTTGGATTGAAAAATAAATAAGAATYCACCATATTTCAGCCTATGCAATTTTGCKGTCACAAACCACAAAGGACCAATTTCACAGCTTCATTATTAGGTTTTGCAATCAAACAAAGAATTAGAAACTTCAAAAATAAAATAAGTAATAACCCTAGTTCCCTAACCTCACAAGTCACAACTCACAAGAGAGAGGCAGACGGKCGACGGCAGTGAGCAGGCGATAGTCGAGACTCGAGAGCGAGAGTCGATTTCTGTTGTGAGTTCTGTGAGTGAGCGAGGCGAGAGCGAGGCGAATCGTGAATCGTGAACTAAATCGATTTCTGTTGTGAGTTTTGTGAGTGAGCGAGGCGAGAGCGAGAGCGAGAGTCGAGGTCGAGGGAGTGAAGTGAGCCGTGACGGAGGAATGGAGGATGATGGACGAATTGCAGTGGACTGTGGTAAGCGGAAACGGTTATATTCTTAGGCCCAAATGAAAACTGAAGACATATATACATTGGGCTTTAGGATTTTGATGTCTTTGGGCTTTATGCTATCTTGGGCCGTCGCTCCCTGGGCCTATGCCCAGGGCCGGCCCTGCTGTGATACAACATTATTAATCAATTTAATTTTTTTATATCATTAAAATATGTAAAATCTATTAATTTATCTTTCAAAGAATTCTTAAGAAAATAAAGAAATTTCTGGTATATATAAAAGATCAGTGGTTACATGTTTAGTAGATATAGGACTTGAATATATTTAATGGAACAATTTATTTTAAAGCTCAAAATTTAAAGACTTCAAATTTTATACTTTTGAAATAACAAATTATTAAAAAAAAAGTGAAAATGCATAAATTACAAAACTTCAGTGGCAATTTACGACAGGTTACTAATACACCTATCAGTCAATCACATTGCTAACAACCGAATTAATTTTTAAAAACATTTTAAATATGAGGGCAAAGTGCGAAATTTTGAGGGTTTATGTTAGAACACTTAGAGTAGATTCTCCAATTTTTCTTTTATGATGAGAGTTAAAAATCAAAATCTCTAAAAAATATTAAATATATCTTCAATAGATTTTCAATTTTATAGAATATAACATAATTATATTATTAAAATATTAAATAGTTTTTAATAAAATATTATTTCAATCCTGAAAATTTAATTTTAAATATTTTTATGAGTTGAAATAATAAAATATTATTTCTCAAGTATAATTAATCATTTTTAGAAAATTCTTCATATTTGAAGAACTTTTCCTCTTTCTCTATTTTAAATAAGTTTTAGAAAATCAATTATAAATAAAAAAACTCCAAATCTTTTTTTTTTTAAGTTCAAAGAATTCGTTCGAGATTGATTGAGTAAGAATAATACATCGTAATCCTCATGAAATACAAACATTCTCTTTTTTCTCTGTAGACATACTATTACATCAATTATCGTCAAACCAAGTAACCGTTGGATTCGTGTTCTTGATACTTTTTATTTATACTAAATAGATACTCGCGCAATGTAGCGAGATACATTAAAATAATCTTTCATTTTATTTTTTTGTCTCTATCGATATAATACAATTTTATGTGATTTTGAGAAAGCGATAATGTTTATCTTCATAAAAATTTGAAAAAAAATATATTGATATTAGTATGAAATAAACTATTTAAAAATTATCGTTTTTTATGTAATTTTTTTAATACAAAATTTTTGTTATAAATTAATTCAAGTTTAATAACATAATAATTTATTTTTGATTTAATAATATAATTTTTATAAAGATAATAATTAAGTATTCTTTTATAAGTGTAATTCAATGATTATTCTAATTATAATTCAGATTTTTTATATTTAAAATGAGATGTTTATCATTTAGTTGATTAGGTTTATCTGCAGTTAGCTCCATAAATTCAAATATAAAGCTTTGTTGTAATTATGCACAATTTATTTGTAATCTTGAATTTTAAATAATATGCACCAATAAACAATATTTAATGCATGAAAATGGTTTTTAAAAGTATTTTTCAAATGTTCTGTAATATAGTATAGATGATCGTTTATTGAATTCACCGCTACTAAATGGATAATTTCGTTCAACACGTTCATCATTCCAAGTTGTTCTACATCGTTTGTTGGAAAAGATCATGCCATTGATCGTCATGATGCCTGATCTTAAACCCCAACAGGTTAAGTGTTACCGGTTTACTTGGCGACTTCTACAGCAAGAGATTCTTTCCATACCTCCTTCCTCTCCATGCTTTGTTGCATCACGGGTAGTGAAAAACTGGATGCGGTTGAGCTTCCGCTTCGAAGCTCCTGGAGAACATTAAGTGCCGAAAGAGTGAGTTTCATGTAGTCGTTCTCCATGTGTTTAATGTCAACGAGTTCTTCAGGAACTGTAGGAGAAGACTTCTCTTTGGGTTCTGCAGATGATGATTCAGGAATTGTTTCTTCTTCTTTCTTGCTTGTTGCAGATGCGGACGTCCGTGGTTCATTCATGGAGAAAAGTTGTTCAAGCATCGTGTCACATTTCTTCGCGAGGTTGTTTAGTACATCAGGTTCATAAAATGGCTCCTTCATAACTTTCTGGATGAAAGGCACTCGAACCAGAGCTCCACTTAGTCTGTCGTGTTTCTTCAGAATCTTCACCAATCCTGCAAAATTGCAGCATTTTAATGGAAGCTTGGAGTATAATCTGGGGAGAAGGTAAAAGAGGCAAGACCTGTGTAATTAAGCCAGCTGTAATTTAACAAGAGAACTATCTCTCCATGTAAATCTGCTAGGGTTCTACCAATTTTCCACAACTCTTCGTTTGAATCCTTGGTCGCAATCAAGTTACCTTCCAGCACCTTCATTACAAAATTACGAACTTAAACGAATTGATAARAGGATAATSGASATCTAGATATRAACAATTCRATAAYGAAATTCAKATATCAAAATTACCTCGATTTTGATAAGATACCACTCTTGTTTTTCGAGAACGAAATCATTGAACTTATCGATCTGTTCTTGGCACAATTTCACGAAATCAGCAACTTCTTTCTCCGTCGCGATCGAATCAGTTTCATCGCCGTTGCTCAATTTTATCCTCTTATTACCGCGACCATCTCTAGAGTAAACGCGCTTCAGTTGCTTCTTCAGATCCTTATAACACAGAAACTTGTCTCTCCATTCAGGTAACGTCTCGTCGATCAATTTATTCAAAAGCTTCCGAAACTGCATCCTGTTGAACGATTCAAATCTTCGCCTGCTTTCCTGCCAAAAAGAAGTCGAAATCTGTAGCGATTTCAACAATGGAGATGAATAATTTGCAATAAGATCATGCGTATGTACAGAACTATATATAGAGACAGAAAGAGAGCCTGCAAATGGATAGAATATGAAGAAATATTGGATTGTAATAATCAAAGAGTATATTCGGCCATGAATGTCCTTCTTCACGCGTATTCTGCTTATATTCTCCTTGATCCCACCAGTCAATCCGCCGAATTCACCAAGCGATTTTCGTGGTTTTGTGATATAATATTTGTTTACGTTCAAAATGATATTGTAGCTTGTACATCAACACAGGATCAAGTTCGAACGTTGGGAGTCACAAACTAACCTTGTACACTCGGTCAACTCCGAAATATCTTTTCACATGTAATTCTTAGGTGACATTTATTTTAATGAATGGAAATGTTACCTGATAAAGTAAACGAGGATGGTAAATCTTGCCGATAAGGTAAATATCGAATATTACCCAACATGCAAGTGTTGGATCGAGTTGATGCCAATTTTCAGTTTATATAAATTTAAACCAAATCTTGTTTCAATTATGATCCGTTGAATTTTGACATAAGCATAAAATAATATGTCAAAAGAAGCTTTGTTATAACCGGTATACTTAAACCTTTTTTAAGAATTTGTTGATGATGCCAAATTGCTTCCCGATTCCTTTTCCTCCAAAATCCAAATGTTTGTTACAAGTTTGACATGATGATGATGTGTTATAAAATTAGTGGTGTTTACGATGCTATTTAGAGCAAAACAGTGCATCCCTCAAATAGCAAAAATACAATATAGCATAGAAGTTTATAAATAAAATTGGAAAATCTTGATGTTTACTGTTTACCACTTAATTGTGACTCGTGATTTTGAACTCTCTGAGCATCTAAAACATAATAATCTCATTTGATCGATTCTTTATTATCTCCATTTGACCATTTCCCCCATGGATGCTCCATATTTTGCGAAGCCATTTTTTTTAGATTAAGTACCTTGTTTTGTATTTATGTATAAGTTTAAGTTACAAAAATTGTTATCTATTTTGAATTTATTTTGCATAACTTGTGATGTTATATAAGTTTTGTTTTGTAAAAAACGCAAAAGTTTCTTTTAGGTCCGTTAGACCGTGCGCAAGCCGTGCCTGCTGATAGGGTGAGTCTTCAAGCCCCTTAATAAACTTGATTTGCTATATTAGGTCCGTTGGACAAAAAAAAATAAATTAAAACACTTACAGCGACTATACTGTAATTTTTCTAAAATAGAATATCAATAATCAAAACTCTAAAAAATCTACATTCAACTACTTTATTTTACCACTTATAGCATTAACTTTATTATTAAAATATTTTATACATTTGATTAAAACATCATTTCACTCTCTTAAATATTTATTTTCAGTGTATTTTATTGGTGGCAAGAGAAATTAAAATATTATTTATTTCTCACATATAGAGTTTTAGAGATTTTCGTGTTTTCTCTTATTTTTTATAATCTCTCATATAATATAGCATAGTTGTTGGAGCACAAAACTCATCTAGATCCTCAAAAAAAATTCTTATAACATAGCTATCGGAGATAGGTATGATGATTTGCCACGTTCCGTTAGGGAACCTGGTTCACCCATCTTGAACGGGGCCGGGGATCCTCGACATGTTAAAAACTGTGGTTGAATAATGTATTCCTCAACCCGTCCCGTTCCCATATGCAGGGATGGACCAAATTCAATGCCACAACATTATTCCTCCGTCGAAGGTAAAAAAAATTAGATTCGTAAAAGGTGCAACCATATATTTATTGTGTATCATCACACACACACACACACACATATTTTGAAACTACAGTAATGACACAGTTTTATTTGGTAGAGTTGGTTTGCAAGACTTTTTTTCCACCCCAGACCCAAGTTCAGATCTTGTTAGTGTCGTTTCTTATTTTGTAAATTTAAATTTTAGATTTATCATGTTAGTAGAAAAAATTGGCAATAAAAGATTTGAACATATGAAAAACAATGAATTAACTAACACACCAAAGACTATTTTATGAAAAACATTCCTACACTTATTCTTATAGTCAAATGATGTTACTGTTTAAAAAAATTATGGGTCTGTCCTTGTCCGTATGTATATATATTAATAAAAATAATGTTTTTATAATATATTACATTTTTCAATCAATTTTGATCAACCATTTATAGTTGAACCGGGGATACATGAGGATGGATCGAAGATAGGCCCAACAAAAACTAAGGAGATTCGACTCCCCGTACCTGTTGAGGACCAGGACCGAGGATGGGGACAAGATAGTGGAACCTGGAGCGGAATATATCTTAATATCGATGAAAATAAAAAGCCACATAAAACTGTATTATAACATCGATGAAAATAAAATAAAATAAAACATAAAATCAAAATATATCTTAATATATTGTATGAATATCCTTCTGGTCAAACAAAATGTGTACTTGGAGGTTTTGATTATTGATTATCTTTATCACATTGCAATATTAATATTCATTGTTATTTATCATGGTCACTATTAACATTATACGTGGCCATGTCTTATTACTCAGGGGTAAAAATATAAATTGCTCTATTGTGTTCTTTATATTTTAATTAAATAAATTTGATTATCTTTATTATTTAATT